GTTCTGAATTATTCAAATCTGCCAAACCCTTTTAATAATATCCATATATATTTGGATGACAAATTTCCCTATTTCGAGTAACTCTTCCATTGATACCTAATACGTTTTTTCGGAGCAGTGTGGCATTTGTTGGAAATGAATTCAGCACACACCACCATTAGATTTCTCATTTTCGCCACCTAGACCTGGTTAAGCTGAGCACTTCAGCCTGTGGTGCTTCAAGCGATTTTACATGAAAAGGCTGTCAATACGATGATTTTCCAATAAATGGTGAGAAGCAGTATGTTGGGAATGCGCCCATTCCCATGATTATTCCTCTCACAGAAAGGTCCGCCAGCTCATCTTACGCGGCTGCCATGAGAGCGTGACGTGGCAATTGATTTTTTTCTCCTATCTCATTGGCCCATTCACTCAGCTATGCCCTTCACGTTCCTGCTTAAGTACATTCAACCTTTTTGTGAGACTGCCTTGCTTTAACGTGCTTGTCAGAGTAGACGCACTCTCTCGCTCTGGCCGACTGGTCTTTTCTCTGTCTCTCCTACGGGCTCTTGGGAACCGGTTCGTGCTGAGTAGAAGTGCCAGGCGCGGGTCGTAACACAGTAGTAAACTCTCGAACAATATTGCCTCTGAATTTCGTCAATGAATCTTGGCAGCGGGAACGTGGAGGGGTGTTGGAGCAGAGTTTAAACCGTGTCAATCGTACATACATGAACATAAGCCGACTTTGGGACCAGATGAGAGGTTATCAAAAGTGGCTCCTAAAATTTATGAAAACCAATCATGTGGATAACTTCGCAGCCGCGAAGGCAATCATCCATACCAGAAGCACTATAAGCTTTCGATGAGAAATCAGTCAGTCGATATATCGATCTGGCATCGGCATACGGACTCCTGCACAATCACTTTTGGCCTGACATTACTGATGTAAGATTGGCTGCGTGCAGAGGTCCAAGATTAGTTGACCTTTAACATTCCCGCTCCCTTTTTCTCAAATGTCCGTTTTGTTTGAATGTATTGGATACAACCCTAAAGCTTGATCTCCGCTCATCATTGCTTTATCACAAGGTTGTAACGATTCATTAATATTATACATCCCCATCAGTCGATTTTGCTCATTTTTGTATTGTTAGATGTTATTATTTGACCGTTTTATGATGCATAAGCCGTCAGTAGTCTTAAAACCTCTCCTACTCCTTACAGCTATCGTTTGTTTTGCTACTGCTTTTATCGCTGACAATGAACTAAAATAAGAGTTTGAATGTTCAGATGAATAAAGAAACAGTTCCATCCCTCAAACAGACATCACATAGTGTACGCAATAGACTGGCCCGATGTTGATGGACCATATCAAGGGCAAATACATTTTCCTAATTTAAGTGAATTATATCTAGCAAAAGAACTTTATCCGCCTGTAGTTTCGAATTTACACTCGCGATCATCATCAGAAGGAATTGCAGACGTAGTTCTACGAGTCCATCAACAAGTTAGATGACTCCTCCTGCATATTACAGAATTAGGCTTTCTGCGGAGGGAGTAATAAGTCAAGTCGGAGGAGGAGAGGGGGATCACTGCTTCTTTTAATAGTATTCGTGATGCAAATTCCCACCACGCATGGTACAATTGTGGTAATTAATGGCTCGAGTGTCGAGGATCACGCCATCGAGGAGAAGTAGATGCGGTTGCTGGGACAATAAGTTTATGTGTCTGACGTTTCAGATGCCCTCCCGAAACCATCTTCAGAGACAGCACCCGGACGGGTAATTCATACAAAGGGAGTTGCAGGATTTAGAGGCCATAGCCGATATGCTACTGCATCTGCCCTTTCTCCCTCTTCCTCGAGAGGTTGGGGATGAAAAGAACCAGCTGGCTTTCTCAATTCTCCTTTTCTGATACTAATAGTGCGGCGTCCTAAAGATCAAACTTTTGAGGAAAACACCAAATAAGACGCACATACTGAAATCCAGTGGCCGCCACCCAGTCTGCCACACACGCGGTTGGGCGTGTTTAGAAGCTGTGCAGTAAACCGGAAAACAAAGTTGCTGAATGAATAAAAACGTTTGCGTTCCAGTTATCTGCATAGATAAGGAGGAAGACGAGTCGAGCACGGGTTAACTCGATTCGCCTTCTTTCTTATTAATGCAGATACCTGGAACGCGAACCTTTTCATTCATTCGGGAACAATTCGGGCACGATGCTCTTCAAAACTGCTCGCAGCTGGGGCTATTCTCCACCCGACAAGCAGCACCGTACGAACAGTTCCGTTTTATTCATAAATACCTCAAAAAGAACCGACACCAAGATGCCTCAAATATAAGGCTCCCGTTAATATGGTAAGACGATCTGTCAAGCAGATGACGAGGGTTATTATCGATGAATGCCACCGACGACTACAAAAATACAAAGTGTCTTGAAACAATTATGGAACTAATCTTTTTGTGTATAACTGACAAAATCAACATTATTCCCATGGCCCATACCTGGCTTCAAGTATTTCTAACCAACGAATTGTGATGCCATGACCGAACTGGTGGAATATTTGTCTTAAGTTAACGATAAACAATGATGATCCCAGATTTGAAGCCTCATCGTCCCCAGTTGGCTTTGGATATGATTTACTTACTATGACAGCCGACGTGGCGACAAGAGCTAATTGTCGGAGCCCTCCCCCTCTTTTCCCCTCTGGTCCCTGATTTTGACTGGAATCTGACCCCATTTGATCCCTTAACACCTTTCCCTCTCCCTTCCCTACCCTCATAATTACTACCGATTGGTGGATTGAACTTTTTTGAACTCTACTCTTCCTCAGGTTATTGTGTTAGCCTGATGATGAACTAATTGAAAACATTCGTTCGTTTAACTTGCCCTCCTCAATGCTCACATGAGTAGCATTGATGAACTATAACAGATAAGCCAAGAACAACTACGCCACGCCCCATAGTCTTAATTGGCATTCGTTCTATTGCTGTACGCAGTTCTTGTTAGTCAGACAACTTCTACTGGATTCAGCTCTGCTTTCTGTCAATAAGCTAGTAGGCAAGTTGAGCAAACATCTCTCAGCTGTCTGTTGGCATTCGTCATTCCAGAGAAAAACACAAGTCCGTTTGTTTGGAGACTTTATAGTTGGTACGGAATGTTTATTTTGGCAAAGAATTGCAAGGATAGCCCCTTAACAGTAAAAAGGGGAAATAATATGGAGTATAGAGTTCGTTGAAGCGACGTTTATTTTTTCCGTTTGAAACCCGCAGAATGATCAATGCCTCAACGAAAAAATGCCTCAATTCCGTTTGAAACCCGCAGAATGATCAATGCCTCAACTAAACATCTAAAGCCAAAACACACTTGCAGGTTTTCACGAACCAAAATTCTCTACTGATGCCAAACCCAGTCCTGATATTGCAGTACGGGATACACTAAGACAGTTGGGGATGAAACAGTCACGTTCGCTTCAAAATATTTTATTAACTAAACGAACATCCCATTCCCTAAGCGAGTTAATCAATGTTGAAAACATCCATCCCTGTTGTTTGTAGATTTTTGGAGGATTTTACATCTTTAGCATTCTTAGTATGAACAAATAAACTATTTCATAAAAACACCCCAGAATTATTCTAAAATATTTATCACATAAAGTGCACTCCAATGATTCATGCATCAACCGGCATATCGAGTTATTTGGAGTGTAGAAACACCTCAAAGAAAGGTGGAAGAGGCTGCAGCCGACAAA